CTTGCGTTGGGGCTCTGCGGCGGACGTGGCCTGCCGTGAGCCAAGCGAGAAGGCTTACACCCCGCTGCACCGGGCGGTGCTGGGCGGGCACAGCGAGGTAGCCCGCGTCCTTATCAAGGCAGGCGCGGACAAGGACGCCAGGACCGGGGGAAGCGGCGCGACTCCGCTTCATCTCGCCGCTCGGAAGGTGTGTTCTAGCGCCGTGGGCGTTTTTTTTTTTTTTTCTGGTTTTGGGAGGGAGGGAGGGGGAGGGGAGGTTCCGCAATTGTTCTGATCCCGTCTTTCTGTATTTCATTGCTCGACTTAAAAAAAAGCTGATATTGAAAACAGAATCAGTACAATATTGCAGGAATATCTCCTTGCGACTCCGGTTCATCTCGCCGCTCGGAAGGTTGGTTTTTGTAAAAGCATTGTCGTTTTGTTTTTTTTTTGTGTGTTTTTTGGAGAAGGGGGGCGTTGTTGCTTCCGCATTTGTTCTGATCCCGTCTTTCGGTACTATTGTTACTCCTGTTACAAAAAAACAAAGCACCGACACACCCATCTCTTGTTGCAGTCGTGCCTTGCCGTGTACAATATCACTACAATTTTATCCACAAACAACCACCACTTGTTGCAGTCGCGCCTTGCCGTGAAAAATCACTGAATTTATTAACAACATCTCCCTCGCGTACACACACAGGGCCACGAGAGCTGTCTGCGGACCCTGCTCTTGACCGGCGCTGACAAGGATTCCAAGCGGGGTCTGGATGGGGCGACCCCCCTGCACCAGGTAATCGGGCAGGCGGCAAAAATAAGGCGTGCCGCCAACATGAGTGTGGGACAATAATATCCGTAAGTTGCATAAGATTATCACACCCCGTGGGACCGAATTTCAAAGCTCGATTACGGTGACGGTGCCGAAAATGGCGGGAGGCGTTGGAATCGTCTCGTCGAGGGCTTTCCTAAAATATATCATATTTTTGCTTTTCGGCAGGTGTGACAAAGTTCTCTCAATTATTTGTCCTTGGTTTTCTTGGAGGCTAACCGTCTCGCCGAGGGCTTTCCTAGAACATATATTTTGCTTTTCGGCAGGTGTGACAAAGTTCTCTCAGTTTTTTGTCCTTGGTTTTCTTGGGCGCTAAACGCCGCAACTAGCATATTTATCACCCCGCACTAAAACTAGTTGATGAATTTCGTGGGCGCTAAACGCCACACTATAGTAGTATATATAATCTCACATGTACAAATCGTTCGCGATTCAGGCGGCGTTTTTCGGGCAAATGGGGGCCGTGCGCGAGCTCCTGGAGTCGCTCGCTGACCCCAACGCGCAGGATGCGGAGGGCTGCACCCCAGTGTTCCTCGCATCACAGGAGGGCCACGAAGAGGTGAGTTTTATACCGAGTTGACGCAAGATAACACACCCCCGGGAACCGGTTTTTTTAATAGATTAGGACACGGAGCCTCGCCCTCCGTAAATCTCATCGTGTCATCACATTTATTTCCGTTCCGATCTCTCTACCATCACTGCTACCACTGCTGTTGAATCGTTGCATTGCTACTTATTTTCTTATTTTTGCGGTCCTGCTTCGCGACATTAAAGGTTGTGGTTGGCCTCCTAAGGAACGGAGCCTCGCCCTCCGTATATCATCAGTTTTTGTTGGTCGTTGCATTGAAAGCCGTTCCGATCTTTATCACTGTTGCCATTTATTATCTTTCTGTCCTGTTTCGCGAAAAAAAAAGGTTGTGGTCGACCTCCTGAGGAACGGAGCCTCGCCCTCCGTCTATCATCATTTTTTGTTAGTCTTTACATTATAAACCGTTCCGCTCTCTCATCACTGTTGCCATTTGTTTTCTTTCTGTCCGGCTTCGCGACATAAAAAGGTTGTGGTTGACCTCCTAAGGAACGGAGCATCGCCCTCCGTATATCACCAGTTTTTGTTGTCTTCACAATTTAATACCGTTCCGGTCCCTCTACTACCACTGCCACTGCTGCCTAATCTCTCTCTTTCTGCATGTTTTCGCGACAAAAAAAAGGTTGTGGTCGACCTCCTGAGGAACGGAGCCTCGCCGGACATGAGCCGCGAGGACGGGTGGGCCCCTCTCCACGCCGCCGCCCGCTTCGGGCACTCCTCCACGGCCGCGGCCCTGCTTACGGAGGGACGGGCTGACTACGAAGCCGTTACGGAGGACCACGGGTCGACGCCGCTGCACGTGGCTGCCATCAGCGGCTTCGACGAGGTACGAAACAAACAGAAGAGACAGACAGCAGTAATGATGATGTATGTATATATATACCTGGGGAGACGCATTTGTGAGAAGAAAACACATTGCGGTGCTGTGTTGAGCTGGAGAACGAGTTGTGAAAAATGGATGACCGATGAGCAAGAATTCGAAGGAGGGGTGGATGGGTAGGAGGGAATCCTTCCGTGTGACCACGGGCTGGAGTAAACGGCACAATGTTGTGAGAGCTGATTCGGAGCGAAGGCAAATAAAACATACCACATTGTTCCACAAACGAGGAAAAAAAAGCACAGCAGTTGGAGAAACGAAATGCTAACTAGACCCCCCCCCCGTCGCTGCCTAAGGTGCTGACGGTGCTCTTGGATGTCGGGTGCGACGTGGAGAGTGCTGACTCCGGGGGGTGGACCCCGCTTCACTGCGCCTGCGCTGCCGCCCGCGCTAGCTGCGTTAACACGCTCATCATGAGGGGGGCGGATCCGTCCGCCATAACGCCGGAAGGGAAGCGGGCGGCGTCTCTCATCGGCACGGTGAGGTTCCATGGCCCGTTGTTATTGTTGTTGGTTGATGTGCATGTGTGTCTTTGTTATTCGCATCGACCCCATCGGGACGGTGAAGTTCATGGCCTGCTGTTGTTCGGTGTCTTTGTGGCTACGGCATGGACCTCGTCGGGACGGTGAGGTTCGTGGCCTGTTGCTGTTGTTGTTGTTGTTGTCCGTATGTGACCGCGCTAACCGGCGGCTGCCAAAGCAAAAGGCTTCTAAGGCGATCGATGATCTTGTCGATGATCTTGTATGTGTGCGGTGGTGATGGTGTTTGATTTGTTGTTGGCGGTGCTGTTGTTGATGGCGTGCTTGCTGTTGCCGTTGCTGTTGCTGTTGCTGTTGTTTCGATGTGTTACTGTTTCGTGTTGTTGCCTCCGTGTCTACCTTCTTGCATCCGGACGCCTCACGCAGCAACGCCCCAACTCCGCGAAAACGGTGTACAGTTGAAGACCCTCAGTAGTGCCGATATCGGCCGGACCAGTTTACCGGCACTATTCACAAGAGGGATAGGAACATTGGTTTTAGTGTTCAGAGATTTGACCGGCGCTATTCCGGGCATAGGCACTATTGAAACCGGCGCTAGTGAGGGCCCTCCACTGCTGTACCGCAGTTCGACTGTAAAACCAAAGAGCCTGCTGTACAAGCAGTTCGACTTTAGAACAATCCAAAGGGCTGGAGAAATCATCTGTCTTTTTTGGAAAGTGGACACAGCCTGACAGAAAGACTGCAATACCCGTTCAGGATAGGTGTATCACCACAGCGGCAGCCGAGAGTGGTGTAGGTCCCATCTTTTCAGTGAGCGGAGGGAACCCGGCTGAAAACTGTTTTTTTTTTGTAGTTCGTTTGAGCCTATGCATTTGTCTTATTTTTTTTTTTACCCTCTCACCGTCTCACCCTTTCGCGCCGGCGGCGGCAGGATCTGGTGATCTTTCGAATGGTGCTCAAATTTCTTCATTTTTTTTTTTTTTTTTTGATCAATTACAGGTTCTAGTGTAGGAGTTCCTATCCGAGCTCACAAATGGTGCTCAACATTTTTCAACTCCTGCTTTCTTACATGCGGACGCGTTCTGTATATGCCGTCTGTCCCTGTCGCGGCGGCGGCGGCGGCGGCAGGATCTGGTGCTCTTTCGAATGGTGCTCAAATTTTTTCATTTTTTTTTTTTTTAAGGCTCAATTGTAGAATTTAGTCTAGGGGCTGCTAACCGAGCTCACATATGGTGCTCAAGTTTTTCGTTAACGTGCGGGCGCGTTCTGCACATGCCGTCTCTCCCTTTCGCGGCGGCGGCGGAGGCAGGATCTGGCGGAAGGGGACGAGCCTAACAGCGAGACCAACGAGACGATCTGGAAGATGCTCAGGGTGCCGAGAGCGGAGTCGGAGGCCCGCCGCAGGAGGCGTACGGCGAAGAACGCCGGGAACCAGCGCCCCCCTCCCCCCTACAACGACCGGTGCGTATACAGTATCATGCCAGCCGTATGAGAGATTTTTTTTTTTTATCATGCCGTGATCCTCCACAAGTTGAGTTAAAATAGAACATTAACGACGTACCTTTGCATTGTGAAACCGACAAAGATCACCACCATTTACTATCCGCAGGCCCCCGCCAGCGTACGGACCCGACTCCGTCGGAGGGATTGTGGTATTCGACAGCGCCGGGAGCGGGAGTGCTACGGGGAGTGCTAGCGGGAGCTTCAGTGGGTCCGGGTCGCGACAGCTGCACCGCAGCCCTACAGTAAGGGCCAGGGTTATTTGGATATTGCATCTCGCCATGCCCCCCCCCCCCCCCCAAAAAAAATGAAAAATTAAAACTGTTGTAATCCCCGAAAAAATGAAAATTGGGAAAAATTTTAATAAAAAATGACATCCCCTTTCACTACCGGTGGAGTTTTATTGTTTTATCTCCAAGGGGGAGTCTTTTCGGGGGTTTTATGCCTATCTTCCATAAACCCTTTATAGTTTTTTATTTGTGGAGGGGGGAATGGGGCCGCTGTTGCTGTTTTTTCCGTTTGGTCCGTGCCCTTTTTCC